TTTCGTTTTTTTTTTTTTTTTTTTTTTCTAGAAAAGATTGACTTAAATCCCTTAAGGATATGCAGTTAGATAGAGATTTTTGAAACAAAAATTTGTCTTTTAGCAGTAATTTAAATACCACTTGTCCATAAATATTAGTTATTTACAGAGAAACCACACTTTAAAAACTGAAACCTAGGTTCAAATAAAGTCTTTCTGTAGTAGTTGGTTCTGTAGAAAAAAATTTCACCCATCCAAAAACACCCTCACTCATTCTCAGTTGAGAAGGGTATTAAGTAAGTAATTCTTTAATTAATATTTTATTTTGTTACTTCCTCTTGTTTTCTGATGTAGGAATACTTTCTTGAACAGCTAAAAATTGAAGATGTTCAACCAGCACCCAAGCTCATCACATCGGAATGTGGAGTTAATGACCGGTAAAGAATTATTTATGTTATGTATTTCCATGTACAGCATCTTTCTGAAGCTACATGTAGGTGTGAAATTTCAAAGTGATTGTACAATAACTAAACTTGTTGTTTACTAGAACCAGGAATTATCATATTTCATACATGCACCCAGTGAGATGAAACGTTAAATTGCCCAGACCTTCTGTAGTACAGCACCTAAATTTAAGGGGTATAATGCTTAATAAAACATTATAGTCTATCATCTCTGTTGTCTTATTGTACATTACATCTTCTTTTTTTCAATAACATTTTATCATGGGTATTCTCTCCATAAGGCAGAGGGGAGCTTCCCCACAAAACTTAATCACCCCCCCCCCTTATATTTTTTGCAAATTTGAGAGTTTTATTTCAAGATAACTTTTGGTGTGAAAAAGCTAGGTACATTTAAAACTGTACCATTTTAGAAAGTACTTGTAAAAATAGGTTGGGCAATACGATGAAACTGTGTTTATAGGCATCCTGCAACTTTGGCACTAGAATGCCCTATTACACATCAGTCACTAAACATACACCCACCCACCATCAAAACAATTCTGGAAGGAAAGCAATGCTTTACGAAGAGCATCTATGATTCATCCCTAATATTTTTTGTGAACTTCAACTTTTGAAATAAAGTATTTAATAGTATTAATAACATATCACAAGTTGTTTATAAATATATTCATTTTAATTGTATGCTAAAATATATTTCAGATGTAACTCTTCTATTTGTATAGGTATGTTGAGTGTGAGTTTGGAAAGTTTCGTGAATTTAGCTACAACTAGAGATAAGTTGAATGTTGTTTACTTTATTATTAACATGCTCAGTCTGCTATTGGAATGTACAACTTTATTATTCCAAATCAAATTACAGCTGAAACTGAAAAGAAGTGACAAATGATTTTTTTTACACGATATTCTTTCACAAAATAAACTATATTCTTACCAAAAAATTTTTTTGGAAAACTTCTATCTTTCAATTTTTAACCAGTAATAGAATAAAACTAAATTAATTCTATTCACCACTTGTTACTGAGTTATACCACTTTTGGAAATTTCCATCCCTCATCATTAAACCTAATAGATTGAGCTTCATATTTATTTTTATTATCTTAAACAACTTGTTTCCTCAATTATACAGAATAATAAATTTGTATCATCAGTGCTACCTATTCTTTATAAATATAGGTGAGAATATGACTACTGAAAATACTCTGTATACAAGCATATAAAATCAAATTATTGTTTATAAAACTAAGCACAAAAACAACTTTAGAAAGCATGAATTAAAACACCATTCTTTACTATGATAAATTTATATATAATAAGACAGTTTAATTTTTTCTTACAAAATAGCTTATATATTATAATTATATATCCATGGTAAAAATGATTCACTGTTTATTGATGATTTTATTTATCTGGAATTTACACTTTCTCTATGATTTTTTAGGTACCAAGTTTACATGCAAGGAGGAACTATGTTTGTCACTTCTCGTATCCTAGTGGTAGACATGTTGACTTGGCGAGTTCCCATTGATCTTATCACAGGCATTATTGTTTATAAAGCTCATAAGTAAGATATAGAATTATTTTGTAAAAAATATTAGTCTGTATCTAGAATATGTAAAGCTACACCAGATTGAAATACTTTTTCAGGTATCTTAGGTGAGTTTCTTTAACTCCTTGATTGCTACATGTTTCCTAGTAAGTCTAAAGGTAGATTTTCCCATGGTGGACAGAGTGCAGGTAGGGGCCTGTCATGGCCCAGTGGTCAGGGTGTTTGACTCATGATCTGGGGATCACTGGTTTGAATCCTGTCACCAAACATTCTTGCCCTTCCAGCTGTGAGGGCATTGTAATTTGATGGTCAATTCCAATTTTTGCTGGTAAAACGGAGTAACCAAAGAGTTGGCAGTGGATGGAGTTTACTAGCTGCCTTCTCTCTAGTCTGTAACTTGTAATTTAAGGATGGTTAGTGCAGATAGACCTGGAGTAGCTTTGCAGGAAATTCAACAGACAAACACTGCAACATTTAAAGATAAACAAATTTCCCGGTGCCAGGTTTATTTTCAGACGCACAATAAATAAGAACAAAAAAGACACAGGACTTAATATGTTATTACTCATCAGAAACTTGTGAACTTTGGGAATTTTGAAGCTGAATACTTTTTCACCATGGTTGTACAAATTCCAAGTCTACATGTAGATAATATCACATCTTTCAAGGCTAAAATGAAGGTTATAGACTGTATCCTATGTATATGTGGGAGTGAAAGATTCAATAAATCAATGTACATTGTATATATTCCTTGTTTACACAGTATATGTATTCTCAAGCCACAAACTATACCAATTTGTTTTTATACCATTCAATGCTGGTATGATAAACATATTGAATCATATTAAGTAATTTTATGTTTTGGGCTGTAACAACAGGTCTGGTATGGCCTGGTGGTTAGAATGCTTGACTCTCATTGTGTTCAAATCCCCACCATCAAACATGCATGGGATCGTTATAATGTGACAATCAATCCCACTATTCATTGGTAAAAGAGTAGCCCAAGAGTTGGTGGTGTTGACTAGCTGCCTTTTCTCTAGTCTATCACTGCTAAATTAGGGACGGCTAGGACATATAGCCTTTGTTCAGGTTTGCTGGAAGTTCAAAACAAACTGTTACAACACTCAGTATTGTATCACTTATCTTATGTATAAAATAAATCCGGGGCTAAAGTTGGGAAATTAATGAATTACCTATGAGCATTGTTTATGTTTAGTGTCATGAAAAATAATCAATTAATTGAAATTATGATTAAATAGATTAATTTCACCAAATTAATCAACTAATCACAATTGGTGTTTCTTATTATTATTAATGTTTTTAATTATTTCAACAATTCAAGTAATTGAAATATTGCCATTATGATTTATCATTATTATATTTGATTAATTCAAGGTTGTTCAGCTTAACCAATTAGTGCCACAATTCACAAAAATAATCACCTAATCAAAATCGGCGTTTCTAACTATTTCAACTATCCAAGGCTAGTGTGAATAATGAATCAGTTGACTGTACTTGATTAATGAGCCCAAAGGTTAATTAGTTACAATGTTCCACTAATTGCCCAGTTCTGTAAGGGACCCCCAGCAGTATTAATTGCAGTATTGTCAATATCTTAGTTTTAATTTTTTTGTGATTCATGTTATTAGGAACACTGTAATCACCAAAGTCATGGACCCACATGCAATCTGGTTAATACAATGTGGACCTTTATCACTAACTCAGATATAGTTCTTTTGTATGTAGCAAATATTTTCAAGTTAGATAAATATATTATTTTTCATATGAAAATGTTTATTTCATATATTTATTTCTAGTATATTAGATTTATCTAATTTTTTTAACTATAATTATTCTTGAATTTTTTATCTCTTTAATACATTATTGAAAATGTATGATAAATTAACCATAACCAGTATACTTTTATAACCCATATTTAAATCATTATAAACTTGTTATTGTTTTTCTAAAGGGCAGAGGATGTGTTAATAATTGAATTATAACCTAAATTTAACGTTTACACTTTTTCAAACTTCCCTATGAAACATTATAATACTTGAACATTAAAAAAGAGAATTTTAAATGAATGAATTGGTAATGTAAAATGCAATAATTAAATTGCTATTATTTTAAAAAAAGTGTTGCTTAAGAGTTGGTTTCTCATATTTTGCAGTCACCTGGTGGCTCAGCCTTAAACTTCAGGGCTTATAATGTTAAAATTAGAAGTCTCATCCCCACACTAAACACACTACAAATAGCCCATTGTGTAGCTTTGCTGAAAAATAAACAAAAAATTTATTTGGCATATTTAACAAGAAATGTTTGAATATATCTTTTCCTAAAGAAACTAGAATGCTTCAATTATATCAGTTATTGGTGTTACAGATTTCTTTCAAACTTATAATCATTCAATATATATGTATATATAAATTTTGAAATGGATTTGTCCTGTTTTACAAGGATTTTGGAATCATGCCAAGAAGCTTTTATACTCAGGTTGTATCGTCAAAAAAACAAAGTAAGTTTTCCACATTGTACATTCTTGTTTTCTTTTCAATTCTAACAGATGTAGAATAATATCATGAAATGGACTTCTTATTAGTTTCTGGTTGGAAAAAAAATTGTTTAATTTTGTTAAGATAGTTGTAATAAACTGCACAATATGTTGTATGCTTTGCTGAATAAAAACATAGATAAATTTGTTTTTTAAATTTGATTCTTTTTAATGCTAATGTCAGCCATTCTTGTGGGATACCATGGTTGATTAACTTCACTGATAATGTTCTTTGCATCTGGTGATGGCTTTTAATACTAATGTCAGCCATTCTTGTGGGATACCATGGTTGATTAACTTCACTGATAATATTCTTTGCATCTGTTGACAGCGAATATGCTGGCAGAAGCTCTAGGGCCCAGCATGGCCAGGTGGTTAGGGGGCTCAACTCGCAATCTGCGGGTTACGGGTTTGAATCACCGTTACACCAAATATGCTTACCCTTTCAGCCGTGGTGGTATTATAATGTGATGGTCAATCACACTGTTTGTTGGTAAAAGAGTAGCCCAAGAGTTGCCGGTGGGTGGTGATGACTAGCTGCCTTCCCTCTTGTCTTTCACTGCTAAATCAGGGACAGCTAATGCAGATAGCCCTCGTGTAGCTTTGCACAAAATACATAACAAACAAACAAATAAACAGAAGCTCTACTTTGTAACTGGGGTTGTAGTTTGTAATAAAAGATCCCAAGTAGCTATGTGAAATAGCTGAAAGTCTGCAGACTTATAACACTAAGAACCAGGTTTCAATACCCATGGTGGGCATAGCACAGGTTGTCTAGTTTTGTGCTTAACTACAAACAAACAAAGTAACTATGATGTATTCATTTAAACTTTCAAAACTAGTTCTAAAAAATAATTTTATGTAGCTTGATTAAACTATGCTAATTTATTTATATCTTCTCATTATGTTTTGTATCTTTTTGACTCGACACTGGTTCCCATATTATTATGGTGAAAATTAAATGTATCTTTGAGTTTATTATAATAAGAGTTTACATTAATTTCTGATATTTTAGCATAGAAGGGTAAATGTACAAAAAATATATCAGTTCAAGGCAGTTTCAGTTAGTTTGAAATTACATTGGAATATATAACAGACATACTTAAATTCTGCACATTACAGTAGGATTAATGTTATTTTATAACTTGTGGCATGCTTGAAAACATTTTGAGTTGTTGTGTGCACTCAAACTTTGTTTTGGCATGCTGTAATAAATGATGTTTTGTTTTTGTCAAGATTTGCTTTTATATCTTTACTAGAAAGGTTTCATTAAAGCGCTGTCATCCAACCCCTGTGCTTTCACTCGAAGATTCTGTCAGGTTGAGAGGGTCATGAGGAATCTTTTTGCTCGGCAGCTCTATCTGTGGCCACGGTCTCATGAAGTTGTGAACAGTTCTCTTGAAAAAATACAAGTGAGTGACTTCTAGTTTAATAAAAGTTAAAACGTGCATGTATTGAGTCCTAAAATTGCTTTTAGGTTATTGATATTTTAAATTCAGGGATTGTCTTCTATTATATTGTTGATTTCCAAAAAGACACAAATAATTTCAATGTTCATTTGTAGACTTTCCAAAATCCTTCATGATTGGTTGCTGGCAAGAAGATCTCCTACAACTTAATATATGATGTTAAACTTTCAACATTTTATAGCCTGAAGTTACTGAAATCCATATAAACATGACAGCATCCATGCAAGCAATTCAGACTTCACTCTTAGACCTGATGAATGTATGTGTTAAGGAGATTAAGAAGATTAATTCAAGGGTAAGTTAACATTTTGGGTTTAGCCTAGTGGTTAGCGTCATGATTCTTGTACTATTCCCACAAAAACATGCACTTTGGAACTGTGGTATGGCACTATAAGAGTGATTGCAAAATAATCCCACGATTTGGTCAAATAAAGAGTTGCTGCTGAGTGCTACAGACTAGTTTTTTTTCATCTAGTCTTATCAGCTCAGCTGTAGGAACAGTTATGCACAGACAGCCATTGTGTAAGTTTGCTTGAAATTCTAAAATGTGTTTTGTCCTGAAGTAGTCAACGAAGATAAGTTAGAGTCCCAAAGATGATAATTATTAATGGTATTGTTTAACTTTTTTTGTTCCCAGTTGGAGCTGGTCCCCTGAATAGTAAGAATGTTGTATGGTTAAGATTTTAGAAAAATAGTAGTTCTTAAAAAGAAGTCATCCTAAAATACAGCTTAGTTGACATGTACTTGGTGATTTTAAAGATTCCACAGGTGAAAAATTTTCTTTTTCTACTAATGAGATTCAGTGTCACAAATAAGTTGTTTAGAATAACATTGTAAAAAAGTTAATGTGCATGCAAACATATAGGAGTGTTTAAAGGAAAGTCTTAGTTACTGCTGAATCAACACTCTTTAAAGTGGATCAGTTTATAAGTTTTTTGTGTGAAAGTTTTTCTCACGTAATTTTGAACATACTGATAACTGTTCCAAGCTCTTAGATAAACAGTAATGAGACTTCTATAATTTTGATAAACTTTCACTAGGTCAAATTGTGCATCTTGATTTTTCATGAAAAATAGTCATTCTGAAACCTCTGATGGTTTTAGTTTCTTGCAATTTTTACATGTTCTACAGTAATTCCTGTATGCTGAATCTGAAAAGGATATTCATTTTTCTCCATCATTTACAGATTTTTCACAAAATGTCATATGTACTTTTACATAAGTGAATCATTTTCATTGAAATCTGATCGCATTTTTTTATTGACAACCACTGACTGTAGATTTCTCTAGACCAATCGCGATGTGAGAGTCATATCGTTCTAGAACCCACGAGAAACACTTCGATAGTATATGAACAATTAATAGGCTGCATGACGTATCATTTCTGGATAATATTTGTTTGTGCATGCGCTTTGACATTGTTTTTCTTTTTTATATTACTTATTTGTGTAAATGGTCCAAAAATATTCTGTTATATTTGTGGTAAATTTGTTGTTGTGAGCCTAGAAACCATGGAGATGACTGCTATTTTTGCTCATGTAACGTACAAGGCTACAACACTCATTTCTTACCCAAACCTTCAATTTGCTGTAAGAACTGTTGCTCATGGACCTGACGTATCAGTACCTACTCCACAGGAGACTCTTGATACAGTTTCATCTGATTCTGAATCTGATGTCAATAGAACTGACGATAGGGATTGTTTTCAACTTGAAATGACTGAAAAGGTTTCTTCAAGACATCAGGGAAATGGAGAAGAGGTATAACAAAAGGTAGAACATCAACATGATGGCTGATTACTGTTGGTCATTGAAATGAGATGCTCCAGATGCAATATTTAAAAGAAAGATCACAAAATGTAGATGTAAATTTCACAAAAAAAATCAGGATGAATGAGGATGCATATTTGACATCAGTGTTCCTCCCATTTCTTCAGTCTGTTTATATTTTTTTTCACAAACATAATAATAAAAAATATTCATTGTGGTAAACGAAATAATAATTTGATCTAAGTAAGTTTTTTTTTTTCATTCCAATTTATAAAAAATCCTTATGTGATAGAAAAAAATGAATATTATTTTCAAAATCTGTTTAGCTGTTTTAAAAAAAACTGTTATTAAAACCAAAACAACTTTTATGAAGTTTAAATTTGCAGGCCTGTGTTATAAACACGTATGAATTTTTATATGTACCAATGTTGCTCTGAGGCTAGTGTTATTACCAAAATTATGTATTATGTACATTTTTATTAATTATGATTATGTTAATTACACTCAATTATAAAATATTATAAACAAGGAAAATGATACAGATTTAATAATAACTAAATTTGCACATTAAATACTGTTTATGTAATGTGTCAACAAGTTTGGAGATGTAATCACCATTGGAATCCAATTTGAACATTTATCATGGAAACTATTATTTTTATATATATATTTTTGTAATGATATATTAATTGGTAATTAATTAAGAAAAATTTATATGCTAAATTATTTCCATATTATCATAAAACCCATAGTCAAATTGGTACATATACAAAGTTTCAAGTATTTAAAGTTAGTAATAATGGTTTTATTAAAGTTCAAAATAAGGAAGTTATTTCTGGAATGCCACATAGATTTCTCTGATATATGAGTCAAGTCATAATGTTTTTTTTTTGAATAAAAGAAGGATCATAATCAATGAAATAAGATAAATTCAGTTCAAAGAATGTAATCATGTGCAACTTGTTTATTTAGTGCGAGATTGTATGGTATATAGTGAATTTCTGGTATAGATTCTCCAAAGTCTAACCAATATTTTATTGTATTATATGACTTTTTTTTTCTGTTTAATAATAGCTTGACACAGAGGAATTGACCCTTGAAAATGCTATATCCCGATCATTTGACAAAATTGTAAAGTTTCAGCTTGACCCTATATGGCACCAGCTCGGTCCAAAAACTCGTCGGCTTGTTGCTGACCTGAAAACCTTACGGATAATTCTGGAGTAAGTACTTTTATCAAAATGAATTAATTATTGGTGTGGATTTTGACTTTTGTTTCTTCTTGTATCATACTGCAAAATTACTCCATTTTGTGTCCTACTGCAAATTTTTTTCATTTTGTGTCATACTGCATAATTAATCCATTTTGTGTCCAACTGTAAAGCTTATTGTTTGCTGTAATACAGAATGTGATGAGTCACCTCTTTCTTGTAAATAATGTTTCTGTGGATTTTTATTTTTATTTCTTATGCATGTCACATATTTCAAAGATAATTCACTGAAATAATCATCTCATTGATTCATTTCCACTTTATCCTTTTTTTATTTCATGCAGTTACAATTGTCTAAAATCAAATGTTAAGTTAGAAGTAACTAAACAAATACTGTGGTAGTTGAATATCAATCATTAACATGGTAAGTAGCCTATATGATCATCTTGGTCTAAGTTATCCATCCTGGATAAGTAGATAGCACATCAACCTTTCTGTTAAGAAGACCTAAGATCAAAGCTAACTTCATGTATCACAGACATGGGTCTTCTCTGAAGATTATGGTAGTTTAGCAGCCAGGGCATTTTTTTTATTTAAACTAGTTAGCAAAAAACATAATAAATATTTAGTAACAAATCAATAGTTAGACCTAGATGACATAGGTTATAAACCATGACAATGATTTTAAATAAAAACATCTCGAACTTCTGAGCCTTTAGAGTCGGATGTATTGAAACATGTGCAATTTTGTCAGCTGCTGTGTATCTTGTTAATTAAAAGTTGTAACATGTGCATTTAAAAACAATTTGTATTACTTTCAGATCTGTAACCCAGTGTGATAGTGTAACATTTTATAGCCTTCTGAAATCTATCAAGTAAGTCAGATTAATACAGTCTATATGAAGTTGTTTTTAGTAATGTATTTTTTATATTAATTTTCTGAAAACTTTTTCTATATCTAATATAACAGGTTATGTAAGATTTATTAAACACAATATATCCAGAAGCAACAAGAATATAAAGAAACTGCTTCATGCCAACAAAGTTGTAATTTTACATACAAGCCTTATGTAATATAATGGCAAGCCTGGGGAAGCATGGTCTCTTGAACCACAAGTCTTGTGATATTGCATCACAGTAAGACTAATAAGAATTATTGAAAACATTTATTATTATTATTAAAACTATTATCAGTCTTATTGTGATACAATATAACACAAACTACCAATCAACATTCAACAATAAAACATCTACTGGCGTATAACTCATGGACTCCAGACACAACTCACGAAGAGTGAACTTACATAGTGTGAGTTAGCCTATGAATATCAGAGTGAACTTACAATGTGAATTAGCTTATGAATATCAGAGTGAATTTACACAGTGTGAGTTAGCCTATGAATATCAGAGTGAACTTACATAGTGTGAGTTAGCCTATGCATATTAGAGTGAACTTACACAATGCAAGTTAGCCTATGAATATTAAGAGTAAACTTACATAGTGTGAGTTAGCCTTTAAAAATTACGTCTGTTTTTATAAGAAATGACTCATTTAACCACTTTCAAATGATGAAAAATTCCAGGTCAATTTGCATAAAGTTTCTCAAAATAATCTTTCTTAGATTTACAGAATTGGCCAGTAATGATGAAATATACTTGTTACAGAAGATATTACACTTATCCACAATTGAAATCCTGGGGGGGGGGGTTATGTAGCAAAAAGAGTTGTCAGTGCACTTCCATTTCTAGTCTATGGTTGAATATAAAATTTCTCTAATCAGATCAAACATAAACAGCTAAACATACTACTACTACTGCTACCTGAATTACTATTGCAAGTTTAAGTAACTTAGTTCTTAACAAAATATGCTGAATCTTATGATAGAATCTTATGATAGAATGACAAAGTCACGTGTATAATTTTCAGTATAACAGTCTTGGCTTTATATATTTTAAGAATTTTTGTGGTAACATTCAGTTTCACAGCATACAAAAATGTAGGCTAATGGAATGATAGGCTTGGAACCTACCTCACAACTGATCGTGTATGTGCTAACACAAACTGTCAGGATATCACTCACTGAAATAAATTGTTGAAGTTAATAGAAATATATGTTTTAATTATACGGTAACAGCCAGACTTACAAATATACTTTTATTAGATAATATTAACCTCAAAATCTTTAAGTGTTATAAATATGAAATATTATATTTTCATTGCATGATCAATTTATTATTTACTTTATCATTTTGTTATGATTCTAGTATAAAACCTGCTCATAATTTAGATGCTTGTTTTGTGTATATTTATGTGAAGATCAATACATAATCAAAAACTTCTCATAATATGCAGAAAATTTAACACAAAATGGTCCAGCAATCATACAAATGTGCCTACATATTGTTAAAAAATGTTCATGTATAAATATGGAGAAGATTACTAATCTGTTTCAAGTTTACTAGTTTTGTTAATAACACTGGGACAACAGAACCTACAGTCCCAGTTTAAACTATGAATTCCTAGCAAGCCAGTTAGACATTAGTTCTAGGTTAAGAATAGCTATGCTCAAATTTCAGGGTCTCTGACCTGGCCATTTAGACTTTGTGTTGCTGTCCAGGGCAAAGTACTGAATTCTCAACCAGTTGGAGCAGATTTTAATTTTTTTGTAGTCTTAAAACTAAATTAAAAACAACTGTTTTGTCAACATGTAAATTT